GCCAGGCAGGTGTGGTCTTAATGGCCAGTAAGGGGTGGTGGTGACGTCAAGGCTAGAGTCCGGTTCCAGACAATGAAAAATATGGGCTGTAATGAAATTATGGATCAATTCCAGGGCTATTTTTGGTCAGGAATGGAGTTCCAGCTAGCTTCAGAGTTGGCCACGCCCACTACAGCCCAAACCTCTGTGTTGGCTACAGAGGGAAGGCCTGGAGAGTGACCCCCCCCAGCGACTCTGAGGCACGTGAGCCACTGGGGGGGGGTTAGAAAGATTGGGGAGGCATTTAAATGCCTTCCTGTGCTTCCCCCGGCCTGTCCAAGGGTTGACTTGCCTGGGCTCCCTGTAGCCATGGGGTGCCCGGGCAAGCCAAGGGAAGGCATGGGGTGTGGCCTAATATGCTAATGAGCTGTGCCATTGGGGTGTGGCCTAATAGGCTAATGAGTTTCTGCTGTGGGGTGTGGCCTATTATGCGAATGAGTTTCTGCTGGGCTTTTTCTACAAAAAAAAAAAGCCCTGATCAATTCCATAAGGTATTTCTCCTTCTCTTTGGAGAGCTGCATTTCACTAGATACTGTGTGTTCTAAGTCACTCTAGGTAAGGGGATACGGTTTTGGGGTTTCCACTGGATCTGTCTTCTAATTTATTGTAATGTGCAGTAAATTTACAATGGCGGGGAACCAAAGGGACATGCATGATGTTCTGTATGCACCCCCCAAGGCTTCCCCTTCCTAGTGCAGTGCTTTGCCTTGCCTGCAAGGCCACTTCTGAAGATAAAGGAATTATATGGTATATGACACCAGGGGTGGGGGAGGCGGCAGAAAAATTGCCAGCTGTCCCATGCAGAGGAAGGTATCTGTACACACAGGCTTCCCAGCCATTATACCTCTGAAACTTGAATTTAATTTTAATTTAATGCTATTAAAAGATTAGACTTTCAGAAGTGTGAACGCTTTTGAGGAATTTAAATAAGATTTATTTATTTATTTATTTATTTAATACCCCACCCTCCCCGCAAAAGCAGGCTCAGGGCAGCTTACACAATTTGGTACATAAATAACAATTAAAATCCACGTAAAATTATCTAAAAACAGTTCAGCTATAAACAATTCAGTATCATAAAGTGCTGGCAATATTTAATTTATTGCTTAACGATGGCATACTCTCTGACTGCATACAAAGGTCTAACTAAATGTTCTGCTCCATGATCCTGATACGAGCGGCAGCACAGGCTGTAGATGTCAAAGCCAAGGGCCAGGGCTCTATAATTAAGGTTGTTGGTGATAATAGTGGTGGTGGCCCCTTAGTTGAAAGCCTGGTGGAAGAGCTCCATCTTGCAGGCCCTGCGGAACTGTAAAAGATCCCACAGGGCCCTGATCTCTTCTGGGAGCCCGTTCCGCCAGTATGGAGCCGCCACTGAGAAGGCCCTGGCTCTGGTAGTAGCAAGCCTGGCATTCTTGGGACCAGTGTTCCCTCTAAGCTGAGTTAGTGTGTGCTAGCTCACAGTTTTTTAGCCTCCGGCTCACACATTTTTGTCTCAGCTCAGGAAGGAGGGCTCCAGAGCACACTAATTTATGCAGCAGCCAAATCGCGCGCTCACAACTTTAATGCCAGCAGCTCACAAAGAAGATTTTTTGCTCACAAGACTCCACAGCTTAGAGGGAACACTGCTTGGGACCCGGGAGGGCCAGTCGATTTTGAGACCCTGACCGTAGTGCTCTCTGGGGTATGTATGGGGAAAGGCGGTTCCTCAGGTATGTCGGACCCTGGCCATATAGGGCTTTAAAGGTAAGAACCAGCACCTTGACATTCAGTATGCTCTTGGCAGCCAGTGCAATGTCTTCAGCACAGGCTGGATGTGCTCCCACCTGGGGAGGCCCATCAAAAGCCTGGCCACAGCATTCTGCACTAGCTGCAGCTTCCGAATTTGCGACAAGGGAAGCCCCATGTAGAGAGCGTTACAGTAGTCTAATCTCGAGGTGACCGTCACATGGATCACTGTTGCCAGGTTGTTGCGGTCTAGGAAGGGAACCAACTGCCTGATCAGCCGGAGACGGTAAAAGGCTGCCTTGGCAGTGGCTGCTACCTGGGCCTTCATTGTTAAGGAGGCACCCAAAAGCACTCCCAAACTCCTAACCTCCGGCGCTGGCACCAGAGGCGCCCCATCAAAGGTCGGGAGTAGGATCTCTACCCACGAACTGCCTCGGCTCAGGCACAGGACCTCCGTCTTCGTCGGATTCAGTTTCAGCCGGCTCAGTCAACCAACCATGGCTTGTAATCATCAAAGCCTGATGATTTTTGCTAACCAGTGGCAGAAATTCTATTAAAGCCATGGCTTGATGATTATTGCTAACCAGTGGCAGAAATTCTATTAATAGCTTTCAAATTAATTTTGACTCCAGTGTGTTAGGAATGTGTAAGATATGCATGTTTGATACCTGCTGAGCAAGAATGATCTTTTTTGTTTGTTTGTTTTTTAATTTCAGGTTGATACTCATATCCACGCAGCTGCCTGCATGAGCCAAAAACATTTGCTGAGATTTATCAAACACACTTACAAAACTGAACCAAATAGGATCGTGGGAGAGAAAAATGGCAAAAAGATGACTCTGAAGCATGTGTTTGAAAGTCTCAATATGGATCCTTATGATCTCACTGTAGATTCATTAGATGTTCATGCAGTAAGTATACTTTAACCAGTGAACAGCAAATGTGATAAATATCAGAATTTTGCAAATAAGTGAGGGAGGGTTTTTTTGTTTGTTTTTTGCAGGAAAATTTTATTAAGTCTTTCATAAATTAAAATTTACTGACATGTATCCAACCATCTGTGGGACTTCGCAGAGTGGGACTTTTCTGTTTTTCTTTCTCCTGCTGCTCATGAGTCACACCCCCAGTTTGGTTCCTGTGTATCAGCAGACCTTCTGGAATACCGTAGGGGCAGTGTGTGTGTGTGTGTGTGTGTGTGTGTAGAAATTGCTGCCTCTTATTTCACAAACAGAATTGCTGTGCCACTGGAGAAACTGTGTGATTGGATATATACCAAAGCATGTGAGTTGTAAACACATTATATTCATTTATTATTATGTAATGATTTTTTCCCCATTTCAGGATCGCCAGACATTTCATCGATTTGATAAATTTAATTCTAAATATAATCCAGTTGGTGCAAGTGAACTCAGGGACTTGTACTTGAAAACTGAGAATTATCTTGGTGGTGAATACTTTGCTCGTATGGTGAAGGTAAACACTTATATCATTTATTGTATCTTAACAATATGTGGCAGGTTAAAAATAATATATATTATTTGTAAGTGTAGTTTTATTTTAATATAATACTGTTAAAAGATAATTCTCTTAAAAAGTCAAGACGGAGAATTTGAAAATTTTTGTTTTGCAGACACCACAAGTAAAAATAAAAGTATTCTGTCATTGCTGCTAGTTGACACTATAACCTATACTATTATGAACAGATGGATGGTCAGAGAAAAGTGTTACTTAGTCAGGGTCTCTACTGTGTGGTGACAGGCTGTGTGAGATGTAGTATTTCCCTAGAAATCTAAGGTCCTTGTGGTAGATGCTGGTTTGGATTCCACAGAAAATCTCTGCAAATGGAAGGCATTGTTGTCAGTAGGACTGGATATCTTTTCTTCCTTCCGTGAAATGCTCCCTCAAATTCTGCTCCTTGGTGGAGAATGCTCAGGAACAGCATGGGGTAAGCTGGGTTTGGAGTCTTTATAGATTTGACTGTACAGGATTTTCATGGCTATCATTCCTTTAATACAACAAGATTTCAGTGTACTTGTGGAAATGATTCAGCTGCTTTAATTAAAAACAGCAGTAAACCACGGAATGCCAGTGACAGGGAGCAACATCAGGGGAAGGCTTTGGCTTCCATGCCCTGTGTTTGGACCTCTAGAGGAACTGGTTGGCCACTGTGTGAGACAAGACGCTGGACTAGATGGACCCATGGTTGGAGCAAGTGCTAAGTCTAATTTACTCTATCTCCACTTACAATTCTGCTTACACAAAATCTTGTGTAGCTAATTTCTTGGCACTATAACACACAGGGAGGAAGTGATAGTTGTTGGACAAAATCTTGTGCAAGCAGAACTGTGGTGTCTGTTTATTCTTTCACTTGCACATCATTGGATCCAAGCCTACGTATGCTTCAACACAGGGCTGGATTTTGTGTAGTCCAGTTTCTTTTTAAAAATGGAAATTCCTGTGGCCTGCTTTAAAAAGCAGATACACAGTTATACATAGATGTATGACACAACTAAGAGAATGGGAAATCAGTGTGCAGATGACTAGAAAGAATCATATGCTAAGGGCATAATTAATATTCATTAAGTGATCCTGAGTACATTGTCTTGTCCAAGAATATTAAATAGTGCCTCCCTTGGATCAGATCATGGCTCAACCTACTCCAGCATTCTTTGTGAGAATCCCAGCAGCCAGCAGGTAATAGATAGGCTGTCAATTCACCAAGCTTCATAATCTACCTTCCGGCCACTCCAGTTGTAACTTCAGACTCAGTTTGTAAGGGACAAATGGCTCAGGTTTTACTTTCTCAGCTGTAGATAACTGTTGTTTAAGTAATAAGCACTTTATTAGTCTACTGTAGTATGCAACATGAAAACTGCCCCACCTCCTTTGAAACTGTTGAATCCTGTCAGTGGAACTGGATTGTTAAATTAGTATCATATAGACCATCATTTAGATCTCACTAGGGCACAAAGCTGCGGTGGCTCAAGTGGTTAAGATGCTGGACTGCAGGCTGTGGAAGGTCGGGAGTTCAGCAGTTCGAGACCCGAGTGTGCTGCATGACGGAGTGAGCTCCCGTCTCTAGTTCCAGCTCCTGCCAACCTAGCAGTTCGAAAGCAAGAAATTGCAAGTAGATAAATAGGTACTGCTTCGGTGGGAAGGTAACAGCGTTCCATGCGCCTTGGTGTTTAGTCATGCCGGCCACATGACCACGGAAACGTCTTCGGACAGCGCTGGCTCTTCGGCTTTGAAATGGAGATGAGCACCGCAACCCTAGAGTCGGATTCGACTGGCTTTCAAGCAAGGGTCTCACTGAGACTGTTAGGGCACAAATGTGCGGGGGCATGCTTCCGTGTGTATATCGCCAAATGGATGATAGATCTCGTATTTATTTATTAACATTATTTATAGTCTGCCTTTCTCACTGAGACTGAAGGCTGATCACATAGAGTGAGTCAGTGCAGTCAATAAGATGGGACATCCAAAAAGCCTTGTAACAGTATTCGTTTCAGTATCCACAGTCCTACGGGAAGATCTGGAACAAAGCGGAAGCAAAGCATAAGTATTAAAATGGCATATTAAACGATGCAGAAATTACATAATAGGATAGTGGAAGGCATGCATGCAGCCCAGTCAGGTTACTGGTGATAGTAACAATAATTTATTTGGGGATCAAGGGGCTGAATCTGATTCCCTTTTTGCCAAGCAGATTATTGGTGCTATCACTGGTGAGCAGACCATCCGCCATACAGTTGGATTGGAGCCATTATGTTTGAGTAATGGGCTAGACCTTTGTGGTGATAAGCACTCTCCTGTTCCCCAAATGATGACATGTAGGACAGTCCTATTGGAGTTAGTTTCAGAGAGTACTGGAGACTGTTGTTGTTGTTGTTCCCGTAATATGCCAATTGTAATACATAAACAGAAGAGAGTAAACTTCTAAAAACAGGCAGCAGACCTGCTAGTGCTGAATTAGATTCCTGATGAGAGCCACTTAAGGTATATCATGCTTCATCTAATTAGAAGTGCTGTATCCTACTTTCAAAGTGATCAAACTGTCAGCTAGCTGTAGGGTGTCACCTTCCCAGACAACACAGTAATTTTTAAAAATGACCCAAAAAATCATACTTGTGAAACACGGAGGAGCTTTCTCATACAAGCTTCTCAAGATGTGAATAGAATATTTTGAATATTCTTTTTTTATGTATATAAATTTATTTATTTGTATTTTGTATTATACAGCCACAATCATTTTATGCTTTTACAATCACGTTTTGGAGGTCTTATACACAGTACTTTTTTCCAACCATTCATACACTCTTAACCATTTATTTTGAAATATTGCTTCTTCTCTTCTGCGTAATAACATTGTTAAGGAAACAGATAAAACCCATAAGCCAAGCAATTACTGGAGTCATGTGCAACTCTGCACTTAAGCAAACTTGAAATATATGAAAAGCTATACTTTGATGTCCTCGTTTTTATGGTGCTTAAGGTCTTCCTGTCCCAGGTCCATGAATGGACTGAGGCCCCAGGCCTGGTATGAACCCTGGTTATAATGCCACGCCATCCACCTTCCGAAGCAGCCATTTCCTCCAGAAGTAGAATAAATGTTTTAAATAAATAAATAATAAATAAACGATTGATGTCGTCTGGGGATCAGTTGTAATTTCGGGAGACCTCTGCCCCCGTGTGGAGGTTGTTAAGTTTAACAATAAGAATTCACATCACCGCAACCCTAGAGTCGGACTCGACTGGCTTTCGAGCAAGGGAACCTTTACCTTTACCTTTATCCTACTTTCAAAGTGATCAAACTGTCAGCTAGCTGTAGGGTGTCACTTTCCCAGACAACACTATTTACAGTAATTTTTAAAAATGACCCAACAAATCATACTTGTGAAACATGGAGGAGCTTTATCATACAAGCTTCTCAAGATGTGAATAGAGAAGAAATTTATTTTGAATATTCTTTACAGGAGTAACGAGCACTGCTCTTGTGGATTTCTCACTCAGATGCTCCAGCCAATAAAGGGTCACTTGAGAGGAAAGAGGGCAGAAGTCTGCTATGAGTATGGTGACCTTGCGTCTTAGGACCTGAGATGTGCACAGTCTAATGGGGAGTATGGTCCTTGCTGATTCAGTGCCGGTTCAGTGCAGGAAGATGGGGATCTTTTCATGCAGAACAGGTTTTCTGCTGTTTTTGACATCTCTGCACCTTTTCGCCTTGTTGGCAATAATTCTAGTATAGCGGCTCATTTGTGAAGATGACAATACAGGGCTTTCCCCAAACAATTATCGTTTAGCATTGCATCGCAGACACAGTGTTAAACATATTTTTTTGTTCGTTTCCAGAGAAATTTTGCCTGCCAAAATGATGGGTCAACCATAATACAATAAAGCCAGTTTGGTGTAGTAGTTACGGGGTATAAATCCAATCTCCTCCTCCTCCTAAATAACATTTCTAGAGACCTTTACGAGCCTCTTGGAATCTCTCCATGTGGATGGTGGTAGAATTGTAGTTCAGGGAAAATCAGAAAAGGAGTCTTTTCATATGGAGATGTAATCCATACATGTGCACATGAAGGTTTTTTGGATCCAGGATAATGTTTTGAAAAATGATGCAGTATACCAAAACACCAGCTAGTAACTTGGACAATTGATATCAGTGGGATATACTTCCAAGTAGGGTCAGACTATAAGTTTTTGTGATTCCTGGCAGGAACGTAACAGTGACTTGTTTTTTTAATAGGAAGTTTCTCGTGAACTAGAAGAAAGTAAATACCAGTACACAGAACCTCGGCTGTCTATCTATGGGCGTTCTCCAGATGAATGGCAGAACTTGGCTAAATGGTTCATTAGGCACAAAGTTTATTCACCTCATGTGCGCTGGGTAATTCAGGTCCCTAGAATCTAGTAAGTGAACAACAAAAGCATGTATGATTTTTTTTTTAATCACAAATTCTTATTCCTTCCCTCCACTTCTCTATCAGGCTAGTAATTTTAAATATTAAAAACCATTTGAGTTTTTTCTTACAGCAAATCATGACTACATAAAATATTAAAAATGACTATAAATTTTAAACCTGGTGTAATGTATCCAGTCCTGACAAGTCCAGAGACAAACAGTCCTGACAAGTCCAGACAAGTCCCGACAAGTCCAGAGACAAACATTGAGCTTCGCTCCAAGAGACAATGGACTATGCGGATCCTAGCCCGCTCCAATCAGGGGGCTAGGTTCCTGGCCAAGAGCCAATGGGGCTCTCGGCCACTCTAAATAACCTATTGGGAAGTGGAGGTGTGTTTTGTGTGGCGGTTTCTCGGGGAATATAAGCCGGCCTGCGAGCCGGCCAAAGCTGTCTTGTTCCTGATCGAATAAAGTACGCTTTGCTGAAATCATTCTCCGTCTGCGTACTTTTCACCTGGGAAGCAGGTTCCTGTTCTTAATGTTCCTATTGCAGTCATGCAGAAGAGCCTGACTTTCTCATTAGTCATGCAAACTGAAGCCTTTTCAAGGTGCGTTTGTAGACAAGGGCCTTGATTTAGGGCAAATTACTCTAGCAAATGGAATACTTCCCATTTATATACTTTTTCACTTCTTTATATTTTTATGCTGTTTGTGTCTTGTAAAAGCTTTAGCCTGTCTGGCTGTACTTACTTTAAAGAACAAGAATTAGGATAATTAACTCTAATCGACTTGTTAAAAAAGAGTAGTATATGGTATGTGATTAACCTTCAACTGGCAACTAACTATAAGCTTAAAAATATGCCTAAAATATATTTTTTTTCCTGTCCTTTCCTTTTCTTCCACATTTAGAAAGCTCCAGGTGGTCTGTTTGTTGAATAAATAGATAAAAACATTTCTGTCCTGCCATATCTCATCGCACTCAGGTGTGATGCAACAATCAGGTTGTGAAGACAGAATACACCAGTCCAATTAGCAAAATTAAAACACGGATTAAAATACAAAATTACAAATGAAAACAATAACAACATTAGAACAAATGCAGCCAAATCTGCTGAAACAACTCAAGAGCTCAAGAAGAACCCTGCTGGAACAGACCAATGGTCCATCTAGTCCAGCATCCTGTCTCACACAGTGACCAACTCTGGAGGGCCAACGATAGGGCATAGAGGCCAAGGCTTTTCCTTGATGTTGCCTCCTGGCACTGATATTCAGAGGTTTACTGTCTCTGAATGTGAAGGTTCCTCTTAGTCACCATGGCTAGTAGCCATTGATAGACTGTCCTCCATGAATCTGTCCAATTTCCTTTTAAAGCCATCTATGTCTGTGGCCATCACTACGTCCACTACGTAGTAGCGTGTTCTATATTTTAATCATCTTTTTGAGTAAAGAAGTATTTTTTTCCAGTCATGTACCTACTGCCCTTCAACTTCATTGGATCATCTCAAATTCTTATATTTTGGAACGGGGAGAAGACATGCTCTTTCTATTCTGTCTACATCATGCATTTTATAAACTTGTATTATATCCCCCTCTTAGTTGTCTGTTTCCTAAATGGAAATTTACCCTCCCCAAAATGCTTTCTGGAGCATTACATATTTTCCTAAATGGAATGAGTGAGCATGTTGTCCACACCTATTCTAGCTGTCACTGTACAGACGATCTTAAGAGAGGGTACCATATGTAGAAGGCTGAAGAATGTTACCTGAGAGATGTCCTTTGACCAGTATGGGGACTTTAGTACATAATAATCTTTAAAGGTAATAACCATGAATTGGATCTGGAAGCACATACCATATTTCAGTGATGGCGAACCTTTTAGAGACCGAGTGCCCAAACTGCGACCCAAAACCCACTTATTTATCGCAAAGTGCCAACACAGCAATTTAACCTGAATACTGAGGTTTTACTTTAGAAAAAACAACTCATACGTTAACTTAAGATGATCCAAACAAAGTAAGGAAAGCAATCCCAAATACTTTCATTTACTTAAAATTATTTGGCAGAGAATTCGACACTTTACTGATGTTCTGGGCCTGGCTGGGTCGATGGCACGCGTGCCTACAGAGAGGGCTCTGAGTGCCACCTCTGGCACCCGTGCCATAGGTTCGCCACCACTGCCATATTTACTTGAAAGGAAGACAACCCTGAATGTAAGAAGACCTACCCAACATATTACACACAAGGAGTGGGTTTTTTTGAACATCTCTGTAATTCACGTGCAAATTTAAGGCAACCCCCTCTCTGTTGTTCTTTTTTGGTGGCATACCCAGGAAAAAACCCTAGGCTTGCATTTGGGTAAATATTGTTGGTAACCAATGCAGTTGAGGCGGTCCTGGAGTTATATGCTCTGAGCAGCTGGTTTCAGACAGGAGCCTTGTTGCTTTCTTTTTTTGTACCCGTTGAAGCTTCTGAGGTGTCTTCAAATGCAGCCCCAAGTAAAGCATGTTCTCTGTGTTAAGTGCCATCAGGTCACATCTGACTTATGGTGACCCTATGAATGAATCACCTCCAAAACATCCTATCGTCAACAGCCTTGTTCAGGACTTGCAAGCTGAGGGCCGCGGCCTCCTTTATTAAGTAAATCCATTTCATTCATGTTGGGTCTTCCTCTTTTTCTGCGACCTTCAACTTTAGCTAGTGTTATTTTCCAGTGATTCTCGCCTTCCCATAATGTGACCAAGGTATAATAGCCTCAGTCTAGTCAGCATAGTAGAATAGCTCAATCTGGAGGTTACTGTAGCATGGACCAGTATAGCTAGATCAGCAGAGTCTAAATAAGGGGCCAGTTTACGGGTTAGAAGGAGCTGCGGTGGCTCAAGTGGTTAAGACGCTGAACTGCAGGCTGTGGAAGGTCGGTAGTTCAGCAGTTCGAGACCCGAGTTGCCGCATGACGGAGTGAGCTCCCGTCTCTAGTTCCAGCTCCTGCCAACCTAGCAGTTCGAAAGCAAGAAATTGCAAGTAGATAAATAGGTACCACTTCAGTGGGAAGGTAACAGCGTTCCGTGCGCCTTGGTGTTTAGTCATGCCGGCCACATGACCACGGAAACGTCTTCGGACAGCGCTGGCTCTTCGGCTTTGAAACAGAGATGAGCACTGCAACCCTAGAGTCGGACTCGACTGGCTTTCGAGCAAGGGAACCTTTACCTTTACTTTTACGGGTTAGAGGCAGCTGTGAATGTCTTGGGTGAGTGTTTTGAGACTATAGTCCAGTGGCTGTGGATAAACAAAGTGAAGCTGAATCTATACAAGACAGAGAAGATGCTTGTTAGGCAGAATGTTTGGCTGATATTAGATGGGGTTAAGCTTTCCTGCTCCTGAACCATGCATTGTTAATGGATAGGCAGGTTACTGCTGTTGCTAGGAGTGCCATTTTTTAAATTACATCTGGCTTGTAATCTGGACTGTTATCTAGACTCTGCTGATGTAGGTATGCAGATCATGGTGGTGTAACCTCTGGCCTGGACTACTGTAACACAATCTATGTGAGACTGCCTTGAAAGATGTCTTGGAAACTCCAGTTGGTACAAAGCGGGACAGCATGGCTCCTGTCTGATGTCAGCTGCTCAGAACACGCAGCTCCAGTGCTGTGTTAACTGTATTGGCTACCTTTTTGTTTCCATGCCTAATTTAGTGCTGGTTAAAGTTCTTCACATCCTAGGGCTCTCATACTTCTCAAAGTGCATCTCCCTTGCACCAGTTATGTTTTTCAGACAGCCTTCTCCTTAAGGTGTCCTCCCTGAGAACTCTCTGTACAGTTACAGTTGGTAGTAAACTTTCTTGTGGTGGGTTCTGTCCTTTGGAATGGTCTGCCATAATGGGTGTGGAAGGCGCCTTTAATTGCTACATTTAGGATGCTATACAAGAAAACTTTATTCCATAGAGTAACTAGTGGAAGATAAATTGTTTTAGCTGCTATGGCTGTGTACATTTGAATTCGGCATTTTAAAAATAATTCTGGACGTTTTAAATCTTGAGTCCTTTTAAATTTGTAATTTGCGCATTTAATCTGTGTTTTAGTTTTGTTAATTGGACTGTTGTGTCCTCACAACTTGGTTGCTGCATTGTAGCCACATTCAGTCTGAGGAGATAAGGCAGGACAGAAATGTTTTATATAAATAAATAGGCTAAACAGCAACCTGTTAATCTGTTTACAAGACCAATCCAAGAGCACATGCAACCTGTTAATTTGATTGACTGAGGAAAACTTTACCCGGTAAAGTCTGATAAATGAGCATCAGCCATACATTTTGCCTGCCCAACCAGTAGGGTTGCCAAATGGGGCCGGGGGGCGGGGAATCCCCCGCTTTGACGGCCCGATTTTTGACGCGACAAAAATCGGGCCCGGGGGAGGGAGCTCCCTGCTCCCGGCCGAAAACAATTTGGCAACCCTACCAACCAGCATCACCACCATCTTGTCTGGATTAAGCTTCAGTTTGTTTACTATTTACCATGTTTTATGGAAATGGCCCCAGCACAATGGCAGCTCATATGTCTGAGGGAGGGGAAGGGATAGGAGCTCAGTAGAATACCTTTGGGGGTCTACAGCTCACAGGAAAAAATTGTGTGCAAAGGGGGGGAGGGATTGTGTGTGCGTGTATGTATAAGCATACTAAATTGTTTGATTTAAGACTTCTTTGTGTCCTTCAGTGATATATTTAGGTCAAAAAATATTCTCCCTAGCTTTGGAAAGATGTTGGAAAATATCTTCTTGCCTCTGTTTGAAGCAACCATCAATCCCTTGGATCATAAAGAGATGCATCTTTTCCTTAAATATGTGAGTACATGAATTGAAACACTTATGAAATTTGGGATTTGTCTACTCAGCCTGCAAAGCAAGTTTCTGTTGTTAAAGTGCAAGGATGAGCTTGAACATATGCAGACAATGCCTAGTGAAATTTTATAAGCCAGAGAGAATGCTGGGCAGGAATTTCCGTTATCGGGGGCACCGGTGACTTGCTTTTTGTTTTTTAAATAGTTTTATTTTCCAGCACATAATACCAACACAAACATCAAACACGCAATAACAAAAGGAACAAATGAACAGTGGGGTAGGAGTACATTCCGTTAGTCTTTAAGATTTCCTTTTGTATATAGTTGTGATTTTTGCAACTATTCTATTATCTTATATATGTAGGTACAGTAATTAACATTTCTATTTCTAATTCTATTTGTATTTGTATTTTTAAAGGTTATAACATATATTACTTAAGATACCACTCAATCCATTTATAGAGTCTTGAACATGTTTTCTTGAAAATATCTTCTCTCTTGCCTTGTAATAGCAAAGTTAATTTGTCCCATCTCAGCCGTTTCTAGAAGCTTGTAAACTATTTCTTGTTTTGAAGGTGTTTCTTCTTTTCTCCAATATTTAGCATACAGGATTCTATCAGTAGTTACAACATGAATAATCATATAAGCATCCGGTTTTTTTTTAATAACTTTCTGGTATTATATTCAATAAAAACAGTTCTGGTACAAAAGGATACTCTCATGTATCCAGACCCAGGATTCGTTTTTCTTTTGTCGCATGGGGGGGCGCCGGTGACTTGCTGAGTGGTTTGAACGGCCTCATGGAGAGCAAAACAGAATAAATTGTGCAAATAAGCAGATTCATTCAAATGGTAGAACTTATTCATGTGGCAGAACTCCTTTTTTCTTGGTGCACACAGTCTGGGTTATTTTGGCACGAAATTACGATTTTTCTTTTTGGCAAAGATTATAAAGAATCCTTCCACCTTTCTTCTTGGCCCCAAATGCCATTCCACTTACTATTCAAATTATTGCCCCTATCCTGAAATATTTGTTGTTGTTGTTTAGTTGCACAGTCGAGTCCGACTCTTCGCGACCCCGTGGACCAGATCACGCCCGGCCTTCCTGTCTTCCGCCGTCCTCTAAAGTTTGCTCAATTTCATGTTCGTTGCATCTATGACACAGTCTAACCATCTCATCCTTTGCCGCCCCCGTCTTCTTTGACCTTCAATCTTTCCCAGCATCAGGGTCTTCTCCAGTGAGTGCTCCCTTCTCATTTGGTGGCCAAAGTATTTGAGCTTCAGTTTCATTATCTGGCCTTCCAGGGAACAGTCAGGGATGGTTTCTTTTAGGATTGACTGATTTGATCTTCTTGCAGTCCAGGGGACTCTCAAGAGTCTTCTCCAGCACCATAGTTCAAAAGAATCTATTCTTATTGCCACTAATCTGATTAGGCCATGTGTATAATTCCCCGTTCAGCAACACAATTCTGCTCTGATTCACAAAAGAACCTTAATTATATACCCTCTCTAAAATCAATTTTAACAGACATCTCTTTACCCTAGTATCCTTTTCTAGTCATCTGTCCTTCACCCTTCCAAGTAATTTTCCCTTTCCAAATCCCAGACCTCTGTCAGCCACATTCCGCTTGTTGAATTCAGTAGCTCCTACTTTATACCTGTCCTGTCCTTTGTGTATGTGAGTGTTAAGTGCCATCAAGTCACTTCCAAGTTACGGCAATCCTATGAATCAGTACCTTCCAAAAATGTCTTCTTGTTACCAGCCATTCTCAGGTCTTGCAAACTGAGTTCTGTGGCTTCCTTGATTTAGTCCATCCATCTCAGGCTGGGTCTTCCTCTTCTCCTGCTGCCTTCAGCTTTTCCTGGCATTATTCCTGGCAGTGAGCCAGTTTGGTGTAGTGGTTAAGTGCGCGGACTCTAATCTGGGAGAACCGGGTTTGATTCCCCACTCCTCTACTTGCACCTGCCTGGATGACCTTGGGCAAGCCATGGTTCTGATAAGAGCTGTTCTTGGAAAAGAGCAGTTTCTGTCAAGAGCTCTCTCAGCCCCGCCTACCTCACAGGGTGTCTGTTGTAGGGAGGGGAAGGAGTTTGTAAGCCACTCTGAGACACCTTTGTGTAGTGAAGGGCGAGGTATAAATCCAATCTCTTATTATTATTGTTTTACCTCACAGGGTGTCAGTTGTGGGGAGGGGAAGGGAAAGGGGTTTGTAAGCCGGTC